TCTCTCTCTCTCTCTCTTTTTTCCTGTGTTCCTTTTTGCCTCCATTTTGCCATGGAAACCCAGCATGCATTGTAACGCCTTTGTGAGTGTGCGTTCTTTCAGCTTTTTTTTTTTTTTTTCTTTTCCTCCGAGCTGGTGGCTGGTTGCCATAGGCGGGCCATGGGCAGCAGCCAAAGCCCTCGAAAAGGGCCGTGCACCACTCAGGTGGGCGCCGCACTTTGTGTCGATTCCCCCCCCCAACAGAAAACGTCTTATCGGTGGCACCGACCGATCTGGTCCACGGAGCCGCGGCGAGCCTATTCCTTTTTATTTTTTATTGGAGCCTGCGATTTATAAAGGAAAAACAACATCTGTTCACTTTTAAGTAAATGCCTTTAATGAGATGACTGACTGTAATAACAATGTACTAAAGCAGTTGGTAGTTAGTGGAGCTGCTCGCTGGTCCCCCGAAGCTCACGAGAGGGCCGGCAGCTTCATTATGTGTCGTTTACGAGGTGTTCGACTCTGTGTGTGTGTGCACTTTTTTTTTTCTTTTTTTTTAAAGGGGGTTTCTGGGATGCAGGGTGGTTACTCAAAGGTTAACAGTGGTTAGTAATGCCGTTTCTGTAGATGCCTGCTGTGCTAATGAGCCTGAATGTGTGTCATGTTTCACCGCCGATCTCTGTGAGAAACTGACAGAAAGGCTTTTTTTTTTCTTTTTTTTGGGGAGGGGTGGTTTTTTTAATGCCTACGTTAGTTCCCAAGAGCACAGAGATGACAGGAAAAGTCAGGAGAGAGTGATTGGAAGTGACGGAAAGCACGGGCCAGATGTTAAACCACCAAGTTCGCAAAATCAGGCGCTCGTTTCGAAACCTAAATGTGTTTTTCGTGCTGTAATCATTCTGTTCATTGTGCAACCGCAAAACCTTTCACATCATATCAATCCTTATATTTTCTTATTCAAAGCTGAGTCTCAGTGGTCAATCTCAATGTTCTTTCATTCTGGGAGATCCGGAGGTTTTCCGAGGCCAGATGAGAAACATAACCCATCCAATGTGTTCTTGGTCTACCTGGAAAACATCCACAGTAAGGCGCCCAACAGGGGTCCTGATCAGAGGCCCAAACTACATTAGAAGGCTCCTTTAGGTGCAGCTTTGGAAATCATTTTGTGACCATCGCTTTCCACCTCCTTTACAGTTCTGGACGAAGCCAAATTGATGTTTTCTTGCTTCAAATAATTGCATGTTATAGCTGTTAGATACAAATGAGGCACGCAAGAAGTAAAAAAAAGTACAAAAGATGAAATAAAAAATGAAGACATAATAGACGACTAGACTTCTTGCTTTAGCCCTCTTTGTTTAGCAGCATGAGTCGTCTCATCGTCTTGCAGTTCTCTTCTTTTAATGTTGCTCAATAATATTTCAGTCAACATTATCCGTTTTGTTTACATGTGCAGCCAACGAACAAATGTGTGAATTTTGATACTTGTACTGTTTCGGTGCATCATATTTTTTATTTTTTCTGCAATTATACAAATCCGACTGTAAAATTCTAACAAAATTATCAATATTAAAAGTCTGTTGTGATGAATTTGCAAAGAAGACAACAGGTGGTTTAATCATTATTTTGCAAACTTGTCATGAAAGAAAAAACTTTGAGTGCAGATAAAAATATATATTTAAAAACAAACACCAATTATGTTCAGCTGAATGTTGGTAAAGTTCATATAAAATGATGCACAAGACGTCTCATTTGTAGAAAATGTAAATCATTTATCAAAGTAGAAAAAAGTTAATTTAACTACCTGTTACTTAGCCTTAATTATGCTCAGTTTTAAGCCTTAATACAAATGGAACTGGTGAGTTAAATAAACATTCATTCTGTGGACGCTTGTCATGGTTGAGGAGATTATCTATAGAGACCAAAACCGTTTGTTTTGCAAGACTGTAAATATGTTTACTTCTTAGCGATTTAACATGGAGGTCTATGGGAAGGGACTCACTTTTGGAGTCTGCCTCATGTGGCCATTCGAGGAACTGCACTTTTTAGAAGCTCCATGTTTAGATTCAGTGTCCAGCTCTGGAGGTTGATTCCTGTTGGCTGATTTCAAAAGCCTTAAAGCTACATAAAGACAAACTATAAGCTGTATTGTATGAGGTTGAAAATGTTTCTAATGTGTCTTTTTTATTAGAAGTAATGTGGGACAAAATCTGAAGTCAAAATCTGTTTTTAAAGTTCATCCATGTGTGAACGTTTCAGGTTTTTGTCTTTAATCATTCCTGAGATATTCAAACAGCATCAACTTTCAATGTGCAAAAAAACAAAATGTGAGCAATTATTAACAACAAACTATCTTGGAAAGTACTTGATAAATTGATCTAAAATCCACACAGAAATGTAGGAAGGCTTCAGTAGTTAAATTTCAGGCAAATCAGAGAGGGTGGAGATCTAAAAATGTGATGATTTGAGATGAAATTAGTTGTTTTTTTTTTCAACTGGGTGAGAAAAAAGTTTGGATTTCTTGTTCGGCCACAAGATGGAGTTATAGCTCCTTAAATGGGAACCAGTCAGGCACCATGTGGACCGCCTGAGAGTGATATCAAACCCATAATCAGTTCTTTGTTTCACTCATAAATGTGCAGTGCCGCAGACTCTTCATGTTCGCACTCAGTGAAGGGATGTTTAATATACTGAGAGCAGGAGAAGAGCGAGAACCGCTATAAATCCTTCTACATGTCACTGCTGCTGCAACTCACGAGCGCTGTGGTCTTTGTTGCTCCACCTCGTTCAGAATGAGTTCCTGTTCCTTTAAGGGATCTCTCCAAAGTTCACCGCCGTGACGTTTGCCTATATTCCATATTCAGAGAAAGTCCAGCGGCGGAGTGTGGGATCTCCTGCTGCCCGATCACTTCTCCTCCGGCTGCTGAGCCAAACGCAGGTAGGAACATCTCATCGCTCACTGAAAAAAATAAAACTAACCGAGAACTTCCAGCAGAACACGAAACCAGACGCGAGCCTTGGAATTAACATGTAGACGCGCGCGCTTCTCAATTTCATTTTGACCATGTGGGAAAGTTTCCTATTACTGTATTTTAATCATTTCTGCTCTGTGAAGGATGGAAACGACTCAACCTGTCCTGTTTTTACTTCTCATTACAGTTAATGTTAGATTTTAACAGTGTTCACACTTTTGGGGGGAATTTAATGAAAACTAATCAGATAACAGCTTTTTTAAAGTGCACATTGAGATTCTTTGGTGATTTTTTAAACTGTGGCTGCGAGTGTCGGAGTGTCTCGAGCTGCTGGAGTGGAAAACTCTTCTGCACTCGCAGCAGGAAATACATGTGTGCAGTGAACATCATCTCTTTCTCATAAGGCTAAATGTAGACACAGGGTCGAGCAATGAACCGTGGGCTTTAACCCACTGTTGTGTTTTTTTTTGTACAATTCTTTTCACGCTGTCCAACCAACAGGAACAGCGACATGCAAGTGTTGCTTCTATTTCTTCACATGCTCTGTAGAAATAGTAAAAGGAGGGGAGGGGGGGGTCTTTTCTTAGTATGGAGCACAAAGAAAATGTGACATAAAGAATGTTTGCAGCAAACCCGCCTTTTTTTATATTGAGTTAAAGTGTGAAAGTGAGCTGCTTTGTGAACACTTTAAAGCAACCCGGTTCCAAAATATCTCTCATTTAATTCCTCTTCGCAGAGCTGGTTTTGTTTTTCGTCATGAACGCGGACAAACATCCTGAATTTGCATCCTCGGAGGGAGACGGGATGGGTGAGTTTCTGAGTCTTTGGGGTTGAAGTCGACGCGATCGAGCTGCACGCATCTGCATTTCTCCGTCCTGCCTGACTTTGTGCAGGTTGCGGTTTGATAAATCGAATGCAATATTACTTTTTTTATGCCGCAGAAAACGCTCGCTGTTGCTTGTTTCGATGGAGGTAACGCTCATGCACGATGTGTCGCTTTCGCAGACACTTGCGCTGATGTTGCAGACGTGAAGCCGCAGGAGGAGGAAGAAGAGAAGGAGGATAACTCATTCAGAGAGAATGGAATTCAGCGAGCCGAAGGTGTCGCGGATCCACGTACGTTTGCCCCCACGCCTAAACACTGGCATACATGCATAGACCTACATCTGCACACGCACTTGACACCTGTGACATCTTTCCATTATACACTTTAGCCATCGTACCTTTTTGCCATGACTCTCTGATGCAACACAAAGTCCTGCAGCTGTGTGGAAACACAAGAGCCACGGAGGAGGAGAGAGAACTCAGAAAGGTCTTTTGTGCAGAACGATGCAGTTTGAATGACGTAAATCTTGGAGAAAAAAAAGAGAGAAAGTTGAGTTTCTTTCATCGTGTATTTTACAAATTTTGAAAAATCCTGAATCAGCATGTTTTTTCTTTTTCGGTTTTGGTTGTGACTGGGACTGGTCTGCCTGTTGTCGCTGTTTTTGTTTTTCCGTTTTTGTTTTTTTTCTTTTTGTTTCTTGTCCTTGTTGCCTGTGGTTGCGGTTCAGCGTCACTGTCTTTTTTTTTTTTGTTGCGTGCTCGCTGTGTGTGCTTTTTTTTGTTTTTTTTTATGCTGTGTTTGGTGCAAGCTTTTTTTTTTTTTTCGATGTAGGTTGAATTGCGTTTGTTTGCTTACCTCCGTTTTTTTTTTTGTTTGGTTGGTTTGTTTACTGTCTGTCTGTTTGGTTGCCTGCTTGTTGTTTCTTTTTTTTTTGTTTGTTTCTGTGTTTGATGGTTTGTGTTTGGCAGTTTTGGGGTTCAGAAGGTTGAAAGATATCTTCATTCATTGGGTCTCTTTATATTTAATGTCTACTGTGCTGACAGAGTAGAGGTGAATTTGTTAAATTAAAAGCATGTTTTGGGTTTTTTTGGTGCATTAAAGTTGCTGGAGACCTTGGGTTCTCTGTCCATTTAGGTGCTTCCCTGCAGGTTCTTCTACATGTAGGACTTTCCATATATTTTTGGAGAAAGCAGTTTTGAAGTGTTCAGATCACTATTTTTCCAATTCAAGATACAATCTTGACTCTAGACTGAGTTTTCTAACCGTCTGAGAGTCAGCAGGATGATACTTTGTCTTCCTGTAGCACATGGAGAATGTGTGAAGCGTTACGCTCACTCCTTATTTAAGATGGCTTCGCCTGATGAAGGTGGCGATGCACCGAGATGCTATGAATAAACGTATTTTGGCGAGTTAGACGGCGGGCAGGAGTCTGCAGGAATAAGAGTGAAGGATGCTGCTATAAACCTTTGTTTCATTGGTGTTAATGTAGCCTGGCCATTGTGCATATGAGTGATTTTTATTGATCCAAGTGTAGTAGAACTCAACATGAGACAAACTAGATGCATGAAGGGTTTTAATCTTTAACTAGAGCGAGAGGTTACAAGTGATGGACAAGTCCGGTCAAAGACATTTCATCCAACTGAACGGATTCGTTTTCCTTAAGTTTGGTTTAAAGCTGCAGCTTATGCTCTTCATAATGTTTTATTTCAAGATTTCTTAGTATTTGATCTGCTTTCATTGCTGGATGTGGAGCTGCAGCAGGTCGGTTTTAGTCCTTAATTACATCCAGTCTTTAATTTCGTTGTCAAATATCCTTTTTTTTGTGCATTTTTCTGCTTCGCTCAGCTGTTTGGAATTAATAGAAGATCCAAGAGGTTTATTATCTTCTGCACAAAAAGCTGGACAGTCAAACTGAGCAATCCTCCTTAAACAAACCACACATTGTATAAAGACAACTTAAGCAATTCTGAATAAATAAGCAGATTTAAACCAACAGCAGCAGCGGTCGTAAAGCGCACCGGGCATTCGTAAACTGTGGTGGTGGTTATAAAATGTATACGAAATATATATAGAAAAACTAAGCACCTTCTTTGAGTAGGAATTAGATTTTAGCTTACTATTGTGTCAACCATTAAGTTTCACATCTTTACTACTTCTATCTTAGTCTCAGAGGCAGAATGTTTTGACAGACATCGCCTGCATTTCATTTTTACTCTCATGACTGTGTATTTATGCTTCGGCTACCACTACGTGCCATAAAAAGGTGTTTCCTAGTGCACATGACGGGTCTAAATTAGGCAGAGTGACGTGTAATATGCAGAAAACTCAAAGTGTAGCAGTGACATGTGAGAACGGAGGGTCTCAGGAGGATGTGACGGACATTTATTCACAGAAGCTCTGCAGCCAAGTGGTATTTTCAATGTTTTTAGTCAATGTGTCGCTTAAACAAAGTGATAGCACGGCGTGGCAGCCGGCTCTCCTCTTTATTTCTGAATTGCCACCCATCTGCCCCAGCAGCTGCATTTCCTAAAGCCCCGCTGTGCATCTCGATGCGCAGCCTGCGGTTCACTGCTCAGAGACCCTGGACTCTATATCGGGCCTCTCGGAGCTCTGCGTGTGCAAAGTTTCCATAGCACCTCTGAGCGCCTTCCACAATACAGGGCGCTGCTCTTCAGCCCATCACCAGCCACCGCCGAGACCACAGTGTGGTTTCTGGATGGAACTGAGTGCGCTGGGGGTTGGTTGACACTTAGCAAGATGCTAGGTGAGAGGTCCTGCAAGCCGGGCCTCAGCAGCTGCGGTGAGAAAGTGTGCATAGCGATGGATGAATCCTGCTTGGTGTCGACGTTTGACCAACAGCGTGTGAGAAACAGGTCAAGAAAACGAGATGTAGTCGTTGACATGTGGTGGAGTTGGCGCTCAGTTGCTCGAGCTTTTGGTTCTCGTTTGACGCGTTGCATTTTGGATGTTTTTCAGCCTCTGTGTGTGTAAAAGGGGACGAACAATCAAATGTGAAATCAGTTTTAAACGCAGATGAGGAATTGGTGTTGTCTGTCTGAGGCGCCTGCTGTCTCTCTCTCTCTCCTGCCCTGGTTCTAGTTTCTGTGTAGTCAGAGGAAATGCCTTCCCCTTATCTCGAGCGCACATCTTCTGAATCTCTTTGTGACACTGTGCGTCGGCCCAAATTAAGCTACCCACACTCTGGAGATGTTCTAGCACTAATATCTGCTTTAGGCACAAATGTAGAAGTGAAGATGTAACGGTGGGTTTCACATTCAGCTTGGAGTGCAGGCTTTTTTTTCACCTCCTTATTTGGAAGAGAAAGCAGCTCTTGTGCATCAGGTCCATGTTGTCTCTACATGTGTCGAATGTCTCTCCACATGCATTCTCCTTTGCTTCCGCTCTGCTTAGGTGTGATCAAAACCGAAGCAGAGGAGGTGGAAGATAATGAGCCGTATGCGAAAGCTGGAAAAGAAAGCGACATGGTGCCCAAAGAGGAAGCGGAGGGAGGCAGCGAGGACGGCATGGAGGAGGGATTCGACGAGGAGAGGGCAGAGGAGGACAACGATGAGGGGGACGAAGAGGGAGAAACCCTGAACGAGCCGCAGGACCTGTCGCTGGTGGACTACTCGCGTTACGACAGCGCCGCCGCGAATGACGCCCACGCTGCGGCCCCTCGCATCCCGACGACGGGCAAGCTCAACTGTGACATCTGTGGCCTGTCCTGCATCAGCATTAACGTACTGCTGGTGCACAAGCGCAGCCACACGGGTAAGCACAGGAACACCTGACCTCAAACACAGCAGTTGCGCAAACAACCACAGTGTTTATAGCGCTAGGAGCTCATTGTACCGACTGGGTGACTTAACAGCACGCAAATCTGCATCATACGTGACGCACGTGCCCCGAGCAGCGCAGCAGCAGGTTGTGAAATATCCTCCATTGTTGTTCCAACGTGTGATTTGATCGCACCCGCAGATTGGTCAGTGAATCCTAGCGCTGCTGCAGACATCGATCTGCAGTGCAAGTCCTGCAGAAACTCCCTCAATCATATGAGGGTGTTCAGATCAATGTATTTGGAGCAGAGCAGGATGGAAACTGATGTTTATCTCGTACACTGTAACCCTCGACTAACCCTCTGAACCCTTAAGCCGATTTGAAAGCCGTGTTATCTTCAAACAAATCACCAAATATACGCTCTTTTTTTTTTTTTTTTTACAGCCACGAGCTGATTTTCTACTTTTTTTTTTTTTTTACAACAGTCCTTGAACTAACCTTAAATGACACGCAGTTCTGTGCAAAGCAAGATTTAAAATCATGATGTTTAATACTGAAGCCCTTTTAGAAATTAAGCAAAAACAAACCGATTGTGCCAGTTTCTGTAAAAAAAAAAACATTAAAAAAATTCTGCATCAGTACGTTAACTGTGACCAAAGGTGACGAGACTAAAATTACGGTGCTTTTACAGAGCAGAGAGGAGACGAGTGTGGAAACTAATTAGAGCCTGAGAGGAAAATAAAACAAACTGGATCAATGTAATAAACGCAGCAACCAGTTTACATGTACGAGGATACAGTCAGCACGGTGAAACATCTGCAGAGCAGCGTGAAAAATGTCTGTAGAGGTTGTTAGAATGCAAATAGCTCTGTATGTGCAGCATGTAGCGCTCACATTTTCCAGTATTAGTTACACCTGAGTCCAGTTTGCAAAAAAAAAAAAAGAAAGAAACTAAGCTTTTTTTTCTTTTTTTAAAAATGATTTCTGGCATCAGAACTGTGCCATACGGAAAACCTTTGAGTTGTTTTCTGCTTGTAGCCGCCGCTGCTCTGTTTTCATAGAGGTGCAGGACTTTGAAGTGAAAAATGAGTCCACAGTAAGTTAAAAAAAAAAAATGTGACAGGAGAAGAAAAAAAAAAAAACAAGACCCAGAAACCGTTTGGGGTTTAGAGGTTTTGGTAACATTGGCCACATCTGCACACACAAAAACTGTCACATGCAGCAAAAGAAAGAAAAAGTCACTAATTCTGCATTTAAATTCTCATTTCTTCCATCGCTCCTCAGCATGACTAACAAAGTTTTTAGGAAATGTAGACACTGAGGTTATCATAATCTATGCATTAGCAGAACCGGTCGTCTGTTCTCGGTCATGCGGTGGCTGTTTTACTACGAATCGCGGCTTCTTGCCGCCTGTGAGTAAAGCCGAGTGGCTGAATTCTGCCGCCTTCGGTTGGAACTCATGATTCTGCATTTTCGACATTGGAAGCCGAGCGTTCGGGCAGTCTGAGCCGTGGGAACGTCGTTTTCTGGGTTTCTGACAATCAGTTGCTTTGTTCCCCTTTTAAAGATGGTGAATGATTCTGTGTGTTTTTTTTGTTTTCTTTTGCAACATCACTGTAATACTTGGAACCAGACGGCGACTGAAGGAAGGAAAAAACTCTATCGCAAAATTTCCACTCGCGAAGACGCCACATCAGTGCGTTGTCTAATAGTAATCTGCAGTCGATCAACTGAGGTGGAAACTGAGCTCGAGTACAGTTTTGAGGTTCTTGGTTGTTTCCATTTCTGCTGCTTTATGCTTCTACTCCACTACGCTTCAGAGGAAAATATCGTACTTTCTCCATTCATCTGACAGCTTCTATACGATGAAGATTTGACACAATTGATAACAGGACAGGCTTTTAAAATGGAGCCCGTTGTTACGGACTGATCAGCCTTTATGGTTTCATCTAAAAAGCTGTTTCAGATGTTTGAGTTGTTACAATCTGCACCAGATTGTGATTTTTTTTCCCCCCTCCAAGCTTCTCTCATGGTCTCAGTCCAAATGTCCAATATCTCAGCAAAAATTAAAGGTAGTTTCTTCTTCTTTCCTCTTTTAGTGACCATGTTTGGAGCCCTCAGATTTATCTGCTGTGTGTAAAACTGGACATTCAGTACTTCAGTCAGAGGAAACACACTTTAACTACACTTTGCTGCTGTGTGCGTGTAATGGAGTATTTTTACTTTGGCGTACTTCAAAAATGGATCTGAGAAAGCTTTTCCGCACCGTAAAAACATGTGAAATGCAGTCAGGCACCTCTTTAGCGAACCAGTGTAGGAAGCTTTTATAGGAAACAGGAGTAATAACAGAAACTCATTAATAAATGAAAAACAAACTCCTGCAGCTTGACTTGGTCTGCAGTTTAAACTTTGGAAAGAGCGTCATCATTTTACACCTGTGACCATCGACGAGTGAAATTTAAGCAGTAATGATAATCTAATCATGTCATATGTGATGTTATCTATCAGTCAGGGCTTTAATTTACTACTTTAAATACATTTTGCTGCTAAAACTTGTGTATTTTTACTTAAGTAGGGTTTTTCATGCAGGAGTATTTTTAGTTTTTTTTCCCGCTATATTAATACTTTTATGTAAGGAAGGGATATAAGTGCTTCTTCCATCACTGAAAGGCTGAAAGGACAAAATATTTCTTCTGTATTCTGAGTGCTTCTTCCACCAAAAACAAATAGAGTAAATCTACAAGAACAGATGATTTACAAAGATTTGAATCAAAACTTGTTGCCTGAGCAGAAGCCAAATCTGCAGCTATGGCAGCTAACGTTTGCCAATCTTAGCTTGATGCTATGCAACATTAACGTACTTGTGCGACACTATTTACCATCATTATTGGTCACTTATGGGTATTATTAAGCCAAATAAAAATAGGACTAATGATCTAGTGATGGCAGGTAAAACAGTACATCAGTCAGATGGACCCAACCGGGTCTTTGACTGCAATACTTGACCTACGGTTTGCTGCTCAAACTTCTGCACTTGCAGGATTTTTTTATTGATTTTTTTTTTTACATTGCTGTATTCTGAGTGCGTCTCCCACCAAAAATAAACACAGTAAATCTGCAGGAACAGATGATTTACAAAGATTGGAGTCAAAACTTTAGTCCAGAAGTCAAATCTGCAGCTGTGGTGGCTAATGTTAGCAAACCTTAGCTAGATGCTATGCAACGATAGTGTTCTTTACTTGTGCGACACTATTTAGCATCATTATTGGTCACTTAAGGCTGTCATTACACAAAAACAACAGATGGGTTTGGTAGCTTATTGATGATGGCAGATTAATGTCAGATGTCAATACGTTCTTCACAGCTGCACCAAACTGGTATTTTTCCCTCCAAACTTCTCACATGGTTCAATTTCAGTGAAGATTCCAATCATCCAATGTCTCAGCAACAATCAAAAGTAGTTTTGGCATCTTTCCTCTCTCATTAATCATGTTTGAAACCCTCAGATGTATCTTCTTTATTTATAAAATTGGATATAAAGTGGTTCAAACCTGCAGCAGCTCCAACAGTAACCTGCTGCTGACACACTGATGCTTCACTGGTAATGATCTAATGATGCCACATATAATTATCAGTCAGAGGACTTTTACTGCAAAACTACATTTTGTATAAACCTTTTTTGTTTTTTTAAACCTTTGTTTAGCCAGGAAAAGGCTCATTTAGATTAAAAATGTCCTTTTCAAGAGTGTCCTGGCCAAGACAGGCAGCAGCACGATGAACAAGGTCACAACAGCATCCACACGAACATCATACTCAGAATGTAGACGATAAGGAATCAACATATCAGCAGAGATCAGAAACTAGCAAAATAATGATCTGTCAGAACATCTTCAGACTGATGTTTCTGCCTCCAAGTCATTTCTAAACACTTTAGAAGTGTTTCAAGAGACCGGCTCTTGAAGTTTCAGGTGTTTTTGCAAAATGTTCCAGGTAGAGGGAGCAGCGAAGTTAAAAGCCTTCTTTCCCCGTTCTGTTCTAACTTTGGGAACAGACAATACCAGAAGGTTTTCAGTGTTCTGGAGTGTTTTTACGTTGCTGTGTTGGTATTTTCACTTGAATAACTGCTCTGAGTGCTTCTCCCACCACAAACCAACACAGTAAATCTGCAACAACAGATCATTGACAAAGATTGGAATCAAAACACGTGCATGATCAGTGAGTTCAGAAGCCCGACATGCAGGCTTGTTTTTCACTTTGTTTCTCCTCTCTGTCAGGTGAGAGGCCATTCCACTGCACCCAGTGCGGGGCCTCCTTCACCCAGAAGGGAAACCTGCTTCGCCACATCAAACTGCACTCCGGGGAGAAGCCTTTCAAATGCCCGATGTGCAGCTACGCCTGCCGTCGACGCGACGCCCTGAGCGGGCACCTGCGCACCCATTCTGGTACCAGCCACATCCACGCACACACGCATTGATGCTGCTTGCACCTGTGTACAGTATCATGGTGGTTGCTTTCTCACTCCTTTTTGAATCGGAGGTGTGCTGAGCCCGCATGGCTTTTCCAGTAACACCTCACCACACATCACACATGACAGCTCACTCATGCACCTCTGGAAACTTACTCATTCACTTTCAGTTCACGTGTTTCACCTGCAGTCACGCATCATCGTGTTTTTTTTTTTTTGTGTGTGTGTGTTTTTCTTTCTTGCGTGAGATAATCGCTGCTGTAAGTGTTTTGATGTCGTCGGTGTGCGATTAACCAAAGCTGTCGATTCGCAGTGGAGAAGCCCTTCAAGTGCAACCACTGCAGTCGCAGCTACAAGCAGCGCAGCTCGCTCGAGGAGCACCGAGAGAGGTGCCATGTGTACATTCAGAGCAAAGGTCCTGCCGACAGAGGTGAGCAACCCTCCCGCATCAGCGCTCTGGTACAGAGCGTCTTCAAAACTCCACTTCACACATTTAGGTGTCAGAGCGCTGCACAGTCTGCACAAACACATACGCAGCAGGCGCTCACTTCAAGCTGTTGCTGCTAACAGATCCTGTTTTTACAGCCTCATTAAATTAATGAGCTTATGGCTACTACCCCGTCATTACAGCTAAATAGGTTATGGCTGCTGTGGTGTGAAGGCTCAGCGCTGCGAGGAGCGCTTCCCGCGCCTGCAGCGGCAAAGGGGAAGCCGACATGTAGGGCAAACGTTTCAGCCCGGCCGCCCAGTTCAGGCAGACGCACAAAAACATTCTTTTAACCTTCACCCCCCCCCAAAAAAAGAAAAACAGCCTCGACAGGACAGTTGCACGGTTGCAACACACAGACGATGCTCTGTTTCTGTGGTCACCAAATGTCGTAAGTTTTATGCCTTGAGTGCCGTCGTGGTGAGGAAGCACATCCTCATCCTGTGGTCTGCACTCCTGCACTGGTGAAGTTAAAAAAAAGACAACCAGGAAGTCAGGTCAAAAGGAGCCTCTGATCTCAAATTAATATCTCGCATTCGAGCAGCTGGTGGGTTCAGCAGGGTTTTGTCTCGTTTTTTTTTTTTACTTTACAACCACAGCGTCTGCGACAGGTGGACAGCTGCAGCTCGCTCATGCTGCCGCTCGATCAGAAGAGGAGGTCTTTGTTTCCTTTTGTGCGCTCACTCACATGTTTTGCTGTCACGCAGAGGACAACCACATCACCAGGACTCAGATGGGCACCGAGCGGGCGCTGCTGCTCGACCGGCTCGCCAGCAACGTCGCCAAGCGGAAGAGTTCGATGCCGCAGAAGTTCACGGGTAAGAGCAGCGGAGGCACCGAGCTCCACTTTTAAACAACATCCACGTATTTACTGACTACAGCTGCTGTGTTTTTGACATCAATTTTGCTTTTTCGCTGGGCCTTTACACAGAATTCATGTTTTGCAGATTATTCGAAGTCGTCTGTCTGAGCTCCTTGTCTGTCTGTCTGTCTTTGCTGGCCTCCATCTTTTACCAAACAGGAATTGAGGGCAGAACACCTGCCTCATACCTGCACGCACCGCAGAGTGCTCGCCGCTACCCTAAACTCTCTGCAAGAATTGTGTCATAGGTGGGTATTTGGTAACCATGCATGGTTAATTACATAAATACGTACAACAAAAAAAGGGAGCAGACTGAGAAACGTGCACTTGAAACCTCTCACTTTAGTCACTCACTTTTTGTGTGCTTTGATTTCAAACTCAGATAATTTGCCTGGATGATCAAAAGGTAGCAGTTTCAGTAAATGGCTGACTTGGCACAGCGATTTCCCAAACTTTATGGGCGTATGTGCCACACACACACACACATTTTCAATAGCAGGCTCTCACCTTTCTGGTTAAGGCTAACACCAGGGTTGTAGTTTCGCAATCAAGCCTCGTTGTGAGGGTGTATTGGCAGAAAGAAGAGAGAGAGAAAAAAAGATAAACCTCCTACGACTTTATCAGGATGACAAATGAAGTGAGCTCTTTCAATATGACAACCACAGGGGGAAAAGAGAAGTAACCACAGAGAGAGAGCAGGCGGGAGGCGAGAAACGTGAGCAGGTGTCTCTCTGTCAATACTTCTGAGCTGCAGCTGCACTCGAGGCCTTTTGTCTTGCGTCGTCTGCTTCCTCTCAGCTCTCCGTCCTCCACTGCTGGCTCAGGATGCTCTCACGCTTTAAAGGCCTCTTTTGTCCTGCGAACCAAGCGGGTTCCAGGTTTTACCCCGGAGGTGCACATGTTTCTCGGCGAAGACCCCTCAGAGCCCCGTTAGATCTTTTCCACGTGCTGCTGCTGCTGCTGCTTGCCACCTGCTGCTGCTGCTGCTGCTGTGGGATGTGATCTTCCTGCTCAGTGCCTTCTTGTCTGGTTCAGGTGATAACGGCGTCTGCCTGGACCTGAGCTTCAACAGGGAGCTGGTCCACCCAGCTGACGTCAAGGACCCCCCGCCGACGGGCTCCCCGGGGTCAGATGCCCACCACCAGCAGCAGAGCATCCTCGCAGACGGCGACCCGCCGCCCTCCCAGCGGTCCTATCCCATCCAGTTGAGCCGCAACGACATCACCCCCATGAGCCACACCAACGGCCACAAGATCGGCCTGCCACTCCTGGGCATCCCCCCCGCCGCCCAGCCGCCCCTCAGCATGGACTCCTTCCACCCCGACGGCTCCCAGATGCCCATCATGTACAGCTTAGGGCACCTGCTGGGGGGGATGAACCACCAGAACGGCGTCCCCCACCCGCAGCCCATCCCCCTGCCGCCTCTGGAGGCTCTGAGGGTGATCCGAGGCGACGGGGAGGCCGGGGGGCTGCCGGGCGCCGTGTACCCCTGCGGCCACTGCAGGGTGATCTTCCTGGACTACGTCATGTTCACCATCCACATGGGCTGCCACGGCTTCCGCGACCCGCTCGAGTGCAACGTCTGCGGTCACCGCAGCCGGGACCGTTACGAGTTCTCGTCCCACATAGCCCGCGGCGAGCACCGCCTAGAACTGAAGTAGACGTTCGCGCTTACACGCACACAAACACTCAGGCAATACGAGGACACACAGATGTACTCATATAGGTAGTATCAGGGATGAAAGCATGAAGTAGCAGCTGTCTCTCTCTGCGTCTTTAGTGTGTTTGAGAGGGAGGCGAGGCGTTATAAAACTGTAGCGGGTGTCTGAGCGTTCTTAGTCATCCTGTACTCATCTGAAAAGATGGCCTGTAAAGTGTTAATGCAGGAGTAGTTCTACTTCTTTTTCATGCATATACATATCTCTCTCTCTCTCTATATATATATATATATATGTGTGTGTACTTGCTGTGTCTATATAACAAAAGCCACTCAAATGTTCAACAAATTAGCAACAAAGAAAAAACATACACTGTCTATCTGCTGCTTTCTTAAAGGTGTAAAAATAAAAGACAAACCCTCCCTTCAGAGAGCTTCTCTGAAAAACACTTGCCAATTCAAGACTGCAGAGCAAAAAAAAAAAAATAGAAAAAACAAAAAGAAGAAGAAAAAAAATGTTATTATCTAGAAGGTCACATGTCTCTTTTTAGGCTGTGGTTTTGAGAGAAGTTCACAGCTTCAAACGACGCCACTTCACGCTGCACACTGTGCTGGTTTCTCACTCCAGAATTTTATACTCAGTTACTGTTGCCACAAGTCACTGTAGAGACGAGCGACGGTTTGCAGACGTGTAGAAGTGTACCAGAGTAAAAATGCAATGAGTCGAGGAGGAACGGAGACTTATAGGGATGTGAATAGAAGTACAGGTCAAGTTTAGACCAGGTTAAAGCTGTTGTGGGGGCATTAAACCTTCATCCTAGCAGCATGTTGAGCACACAGGGAGAATAAACCGCTGCAAGAAGCAAACAATGTGAACTGAAGTCTGCTCAAAGTAAAACAAAAAGCAACGTTATTAGTTTGGGAAACGTATAAATGATCTACGTATTGTGTGAAATGTTAAAGCTTCTTCACCGCCCTTTGATTCTAATTTAACGTTATTTGTCTCATAAGAGTCAAAGTTTCATCAAATCTGGCCAGTCTAGATCTTCGTCATCGTCCGTATTCGAACAATTTATGTCGATTTATTGAAGCCACACAGTTGTGAGAACCAGAACCAACCTCCTCAGATCTTTCTCCTTCCATACACCTCCTTCTCGCCCACTTCGTCTGCAGGCTCAGACATGGTTTTACTTTTTCCCACACTCGCAGTCTGTCCTGACGATGCTCTGTTAAGCGCATTCACATCACCTCGTCTCCTTTGTTAGAACACAAACGTGTAATTTGACAGTCGGAAAACACTTGATTGTTAAATTCTGGATTGTGTTTCGACCAAATCTGTACGCGTGTGAATGAGGACGTACCCAGAACATGAAGTCAAACCTCAAAGATTTTGACGCTGGTGTTTTTTTAAACGTTTAAAGCAGAAACAGGAGTAAATGATATGAAGTCATGACAAAGCTATGAAAAGTTTGAGCGATAGAACAAAACACTGTACGTCTGGGTTAAGCCCAGTTGGTAGGACGTGGAAATTTCTGGCGACCATCTCTTTTAATTTCATCACAGGATTTAGATCTCACTGTTTCTTCCTCTTCTGCTCGACGTCAGCAGATCCTCACACGTCGTCCACCTGCTGGAGGAGGTTCAAACAGCATAAGAGTGATTGTTTTATGCTGTGTTAAAGTGTTCCTTAACTCACCAGCAGGCGTGTTGTCTTTTTTTTTTTTTTAATCGCCAAAATTACAATATTTAGCAGGAGCAGAAAATGTTAAAACAGAAATAGTTGTCAGGTTTCAGACGTTCCTTAAACGCATCATCTGCGACGTGCGATAAAACTGAGCTTAAAGTTGTGATATTTCACCAAAATCACTTCGTTCTTCGTGTCTTGTTCAAACATTTGCTTGAAAAAATGAAGCAGATTCTGTAAAAAACTACAAATTCTGCACTTCTTGGCTCGAACGTGAAGCCACGACTGACTCGCTGTCGCCCACAGTCACGTGACAAGAACTCAGGGACTTCTCGAGTTTACAGAGGAATTGAAATTAAAGTGATAAAGCGTCTTTCTTTTTTTCAGTATTGTGACACCTGTGGAAACGTGGAGAAATGTATATATTGGTTAATTGTTGTTTTTGTAAAATATATAATCAAAAAAATCTGCTTTTTTTATGACTTATGGCATTATAACTGTGTCATACTGGACAGTTTTCTTCCATTTTTGTACAATAAATATTTTTAAACATCTGCTTTTTTTTTTCTTATTTTCTATGACTTATGGCTTTATAACTGTGTCAGACTGCACAGTTTTAGTATTTTTGTAAAATATATATATTTTTTAAATTCTACTATTTCATGTAGCCGATGCTTTTATCCAAAGCGACGTACATCTGAGAGCAGATACAACACGAGCAAGGATCTAGTCAAGAGAAAATAATCTGGATAAATGCCATAGAACTGGTCCTCGAGGGCCACAATCCTGCATGGTCTAGATGTTTCCTTCTTCCAACACACCTGATTCAAATGATCAGGATCGTTATCAGGCTTCTGCAGAGCTTGATGATGAGCTGATTGGAAGAGGGAAACATCTGAAACATGCAGGATTGTGGCCCTCAAGGACCAGGATTGGAGACTCCTGCAATGGAACAAATTCAAGTGTGATTGATGCCAGTAGCAGGCTGTGTGGGAGGTAGGAGGATTTTGTTTGTTTGTGTTCAGTCTGTCAAGTGCAACGGTGTTCAGTGAAGAGCTGGTCTTTAGTCTTTTCTTAAAGACTGAGAGGGAGTCAGCAGATTGAGCAGAGTTTGGTAACTTGTTTCACCAACGGGGAACCACAGAGGAGAGTCTAGTTATTGGACCCTGTTGTAAATCTGCTTTTTTTCTTTTTTGTATGATTTACGGCGGGCTGCAGGTGGATCGGTGGTTAGCACCGTCGCCTCGCAGTCGAAGGTCGCCGGTTCGCGTCCCGGTGAGAATCTTTCTGCGTGGAGTCTCCATGTTCTCCTCGTGCAGCGTGGGTTCTCTCTGGGTTCTCCAGCTTCCTCCCACAAGGTCCAAAAACATGTTGAGGTTAATTGGTGATTCTAAATTGTCTGTAGGTGTGAATGTGAGTGTGCTTGGTTGTCTGTCTTTAAGTGTAGCCCTGTGATAGACTGGTTACCTGTCTAGGTGAACCTGCCTTCACTTCACAGCTGGGATAGACTCCCATGACCCCCATGACCCTGGTGAGGATGAAGGTGTAGAGATGATGGATGGATGATTTCTGGCATTATATCTGTGTCATACTGCACAACTTTTTACATTTGTTTTTTTCTTCTTTGTACAATTTATGGCATTTTAACTGTCAGACTGTACAGTTTGTCTGTTTGTTTTTGTAAAATAAGATTTAAAAACCTGCTCTTTACTTTCTTGTATGACTCATGGCCACACAGCTGCGTCCTTTCCTCTCCTCCTTCATGGTTGTTGTGTTTCCACAGAGGTGCAGGACTTTTATGGAGAACAGATAAAAAATGTACAAAAACACCTACTTTGGGTTCAGAGGGTTAAAACTAAAGCGCCGGATGACTCTCAGGCAAAGTGAGCAACAGCTTTATGTCACCATCATTTCTTTAGCTGGAAAAGGGAAGAATGAGAGAGAATATGCAAAATGGTTATGATCAGTGGTTTCGTTCTTCCCACTTAACTTTCACGTCACCCACAGAGCGGATAGTAATAGATGCTGCATGCCAGTAAGAATCCAGATATGGGAAGTTATCTGCGCGACGGAGAAATCGAGGGTTTGTGGGAATTTCTGAACTCCACCGACGGCTAAATCTGCACCGGGGGAAGTTTTGCTGAGAGGTTTAGTGACTCGCTGCTCGCTGACTCGTCGCTGTGAGTGGATGCGCTTCGCCCACAGTGCAGGGATGATGGTTACGCCCCGCTGCCTTCCGACCAGATGAGGGTGTTTCAGCTGCATCCAGCTGCCACCTCGCTATCTGCCCTCTCCATCAGCCCCAGTTCCCTTTTCTGTCTCTCTGGGTTTGAACAGAAGTGACACTTGTGAGGCAAACTGTCATCACAGCTTCAAGTGTGTGAGGTTAAAAAGCCCAGTCATCCATCTCACAGAGAGCTTCTCTTTTTCTTTTTTTTTTCCAACTTCAAGAGCAGCTCGACTATTTCAGAGCTGAAGTTGGGAGGATAAAAAAAACAACGCAGGATATTTTCTGATTCGTCAACGCTGAGCTCAAAAGAAACTGTCGGAGGAGTCGTAGCTGGATGAGAAAGATGTTTCTGAAGTCCTGTTTCCTTCCACCATGAGAAACAGAACAGCCTCCCAGACAGAGTTCACTCAGCCAGGAGTCATAAAGCGGCCGTGACGCAGGTCCAGTCAGAATGAGAGGCTTCTGGTGACATCTGCTGACGGAGCCGCAGTCAAACATCAGCGTGACATCTGCCTGCCGTGGTGCGTTGTTACTGGAAGGACAATCGATAAAGGTCGAGTTTGAGTCACGAGAAGCTGCACCTGGGAAGCAGAAACCATTTAAATGTTAAGTTTTGTTGAATAACCTGCAAAAAAGTCACACGTGAAACTTCCTCAGATGGTTTTTTTTGTTCTCTGAAAAGGTTTAAATATGCAAATAATGTAAAGTACATAGAAAAGTGCACTCATTTGCATTCATTTACCCACAACAGATCAATCCAGCTTTTAAAGTCCTGTTTCAGTTTGTTAGAGTCAAACGTTTTTCAATTTTTATTACTGCAGAAATCAGAAAGAATGTCAAGAATCATGAAAAAAAAACTATTTTCCTCGTGTTTTGGGGATAAAATGTGCTGTGAATGAAGCTGTGTGGACAAACCCGTCTGTAAAAACATTCAGAATATCAATAGAAACAAAACAGGGAAGATTTCTGACTCAGATTATGAGCTTTGAAGAAAACAAGGACGAAACTGTGTGGTCATCAGTGATCTCTGATAAAGTGGTGGCTGCTTCTTTTATCGATGACAGATATTCTAAAATGTTCTTATGTAAGTAGTTACGGTTTCCCAGATCTTCATCTCAGTCCTTTTATCGTCTTTTTGGTCTTTAAGAATCTGCCTCGAGGCTTCTGTAGCGATGAATCTTCCTCCTCTCCATCCGTTAGCCACAATTCACTGCAAAACACTGAAGCGTCCTGATTAGAAATAGAAAATGACAACAAAATTAAAGCATTTAATGTTGAAAAATAATCTTTCCAGGCTCATAAATAACTCTCCTCATCAATGGACCAGTTCTGGTACACTGAGACCATTGCTTTATATGACTTTTAATGTTTAAACAAGCAAATAATGTTTTTGTTGTTGTTTTTACATCAAATGCACTAATTTGCAGAAATGTTTAATAGAAAATGTGATAAAATAAAGACCTACATGTGTATATTGTAGGGCTCAAGTGATCATCAACCCGTCCAACTATCTGATCTGATATTCAGCATTTTATTCCTGATAAAATAGATTTTAAAATGCGACTCAACCACCTGCCACGGTCTCTTTACAGCATTCTGTGGTTTAGAGCTGCAACCATTCATTTATTAGTTAGTGCTACAGCAAGATAATATTATGGCATTGATTTATTAGCTTAACATAAGGCAGCCAAGTAGCCAGTGCTATAGTAGGCTAATACAGCACAACATTAGTATTGTAACATAAAGTGAGCTGGTTAGCTGGTGTTACAGCAAGCAAGTTTAGCACATTGTTCGTTAGCTAGTGCTACAACAGGCAAATTTGGCATATTATTAGCTTTGCATAGACTCAGCTGATTAGCTCGTGCTCAAGCAAGCCAATGTAGAATTACCCCATTAACTTAACATAATATATTACAAAATAAAAATAGTTTTATTTTAAATTTTTTCTCATATTTTTCATATATAGGAAAATATAGAGTTTTGAATACAGCTCCCCAAATCAACTGAAGCTGTTGTGAAAAAACGTTTTGTTGAATTAACAATGTCAATTTTTTTTTTTTTTTACACAACCCTGCTGTTGGTGGTTATTCTTGTTTTTGGCTCCAAAAAAACCCCTGATTTGACCATTTTTTATTATATTTTAAAAATAAAAAATAATCTTTAATATTTATATATGTTTACAAATGTGTAATACAGTAGTGGTGAATTATTCCCCCTGAGGATATTTTCACTATTTTCTTGCTTTAAAAAGTGTTAAATATTACTTTAAAAAATAAATAAAAAAAAAACCCTGTTTTGGAAAAAAAACAACAACAACAACAAAACAGGACAGTGCATTTATACATCATTCATTTTATGTGTATTATCTTTTTTTCATTTCACAGATTTGTTTGCTTTTAAAAACAATAAATATGGAACCTACATGTTTAAAGAATGGGATTTAAAATATATATATATTATTTATTTATTTTATTTTGCTTTCTATAGTTAATTTTTCTAATTTTTTTGTCCATTTCCCACCGTCAGCTTTGCCTGTTCATGCCTGTATGTGGTGTTTAGCTCCACTGCTGTGGGCTGTGCTCGTGTTTTCTCACTAATCCATCAGCGTGCAGGTGCATCTTTGACGCTGAGGATGTTTTTCTCTGCAGCTCGGGACCCTGGATGGTGAAATCGGCTGTAATTGTTGCTGCGCTGTTCCCGCTGCGGCCTGCAGGTGGCGCTGTTCGCACACAGTTGAGGCAGCCAGCGGTTCGGGCTGATTGATCCACATGTTTTACTTCATTATGATTCATCAAAGCGCTGCCAACATATCATCTGTCCCTGTTGGTTTGTGGTGACGAACAGTGCGTAAAAACGCGCAGAACAACGAGTCGCCTCCTGTTTTCTTTTTCTTTTCTTTCTTTTTTTTTTTTTTGCTGTGACTTTTATTCCGACCCAGAGGAGCCGCTCTGAGCATGCGCGCTGCATCGATTCTTCTATGGGGACGGGGAGGACATCACGGAAAAAAAACGTAGCAGCAGCAGCACCACAAACCCCACGCCGAGATTTCTGCCTCTCCGCTGCGCCAAAACTGCGCGACGGACGCGGCCCACGACTATGCCCGGAGCGGCGGCGAGCAGCGGAGCGACCCCTTGACAGGCCTGGCCGAGGTCTGAGCCGTTCGCCGGGAGGGGAAATACATTTCTTCATATGGGAGCAGCATGCGGGAAATGGTCGGAGGCTGCTGCGTGTGTTCCGACGAGCGAGGCTGGGCTGAGAACCCGCTGGTTTACTGTGATGGACACGGCTGCAGCGTCGCCGTTCACCAAGGTAACGTTAGCCGCCGTTAGCGCGCGGCTCCGGCGGGGCGGCTGAGGCTGCGGCGGCGGCGGCCGGCGGCGCTGCTCGGTCGGCAGGCTGCTCGCTCGGCTCGCCGCTGTCTACGTGCGTGTTTGTGTGTGTGTGTGGGAGGGGTGGGTAGGTAGGCGTGCTGTTTGTTGTTTCCTCTGCGCACACATGATTGAGGGCCACGCACGGTGACACGGAGCCCCGGATGGCGCCGGAGGCTCCGTGCGTCCGGTGCGCTGCGTCCGGCCCGGTCCGGTCCGGTCCGATCCGCTGCGAGAGGCGGCGGCGGTTGCGGCGGCGGAGCAGCCCGGTGAGGCCCGGCGGTCTGGACACGGTGCTGCCTTCTGTGTCCAGCCGCTTTGTTGCTCCGGTTGGAGGCGGTGAAGTCAGAAGATCATATTTCTGAGGCAGCAGATTTATTCCTGCGCTCTGCTCTCAGCGTTATTCCTCCTAAATGGATGTAATCATGTCGCTGAAAGTCCCTGAAAGTGCTCCGAAATGTGATAAAGAGAGATTAGCGCGGCGCTGACACCGCAGCTCCAAGTCAGGGCTCAAATTCTGAATTCAATCTTTATGTCAAAGTGGATTAAAATGACGAGATGACAGCTGAGAGGAAGAGGTGTGTTCAGAGGTCCATGGAACCATCAGAACCACTGATCAGTCCACACAGGAGGCGTGTTTAGATCAAAGTAGAAACAATACTGACATGGTGTTAGACATGGTTATTAAATATGTTAAGATGGGAAAAAATACTGATAACTGAACAGAACATAGCTGTAAAATATTTTTAATTATACTAAAAAAAAAAATACTGACACAATATGAGAAATGTGTATAAAATGTATTAGATTACAAGAAGTTCTGTGTACATTGTAATAAAGTAGAAAGAATACAGACACAGTGTTAGAAATGTGTATAAAATATAAAAAAATTGAGAAATTACTAATAACTAACCGTTACAGATGTGTGTAAAATAGATGAAGTTAGAATAAAAATACTGACATAATATAAGACATATGTATAAAGTATAACAGCTACTGACAAGTCAACATGAGAGATGTAAGATATATGAAATGATGAGACCTAGAAGGTGTTTAAAATGCATTAAAGCAGAAAACATCCTGACATAATATGAGAAATATAAATTGTAAAAACTACTAATAGCTGAACATAACAGATGTGTGTAAGATGTATTAAATTAGAAAAACTGACAACACAATATAAAAAAACAAAAATATGTTAAATTAGTAAAATTACTGTCAACATAATGTGTAAATACTGGTGCAAGATAAGAGCTGTGTGAAAAATATATGACGCTGAAAAAAATTACTGATGGCTCAACCTTAGGTGTGTGAAAAGTATATTAACTGGAAAAAATACTGACAATCATGAAAAATGTGAATAAAATACACAAAACAAATAAAAGAGATGTGCAGAAAAAACATGTTAGATTAGAGGGAAAAAACTACTGACAAGAAAGAAACATGTAAAAAAAAAATTTTAGTTAATTAAAATGGAAAAACTACTGACCATAAATAAATAAATAAATAATAAGAGATTTGTGCAAAACACATTAAATTAGGAAAGCAACTGAAAACATCAAAAATGTGTATAAAATAAATTAGAAGTACTAATAACATAGCAAATGTATGTAAAATACAATCCTTTTTTATTTAAAAAAACTATTGACGATACAAATAGATAAATGTGTGTAAAATACATTAAATAAACAAAAACACGTATGAAATGTGTGTAAAATACCTTTAAATAAGAAAAGTACTGGCAACACAAATATGAAATTAGAAAAAATGTTGACAAAACAATATGAGACGGGTGTAAAATATATGAAAATGTAGAAAAATGATTGAATATACGACATAAGAAATGTGCGTTAAATACAATCAATTGAAAAAAAACTGCTGACAACCCAAGATGTGTGTAAAAACTATGAAATTAGAAAAAATGCTGACGAAACAATATGAGACGGGTGTAAAATATATTAAAATCTAGAAAAAATATTGAATATACAATATGAGATATATGTTAAAAAAAAAAAAAAGAAATTAGAAAAAAATACAACACAATATGAGATGGGTGTTAAAATATATTAACATACAGAAAAAAAAATCAAAAATACTGACAGCACAATATAAGATGTGAATAATATAAGAAAATTTAGGGAAAAAAAATAGAAAATTATTGACAGCGCAATATGAGACATATGTAAATTACATTAAAATACAGAAAAGGTATTGAAGACATAATATGAGACGGGTGTAAAATATATTAACATTGAAAAAATACTGACAGCGTAATACTAGATTTATTTAAAATATATCAAAATCTAGAAAAGTTATTAAATACACAACATGAGAAATGTGTGTAAAATACAATACATTTGAAAAACCACTGACAACACAACATGAGCTGTGTGTAAAATCCATAATTGTCTGACTATGAGTGACCCTGATCCAGTCCGTTGGTGCCGGTGTGGACTAATGGCTGCTCTGTGTGTGTTGTTTTGTGTGTTGTGTGTTGTTGTGCGTCCCAGCGTGCTACGGCATCGTCCAGGTGCCCACCGGCCCGTGGTTTTGTCGGAAGTGTGAGTCACAGGAGCGAGCGGCGCGAGTGGTGAGTTGGCCGACACCAACACAAACACAACCACCCACACACAAACACAAACACAAACACAACCACCCACACACCTCCACCTGCTGCATGACGCTCACCTTCGCTCCTCTGTCGCCCCAGAGATGTGAGCTGTGTCCCCACAAAGATGGCGCCCTCAAGAGGACGGACAGCGGAGGTAGATCCACCGCTCGCTCTCTCTTATATCCTGTTTAAATCCTGTGAAGCCGCTCTAACCTCCTGTCACGGTGTTTTCCCGCCAGGCTGGGCCCACGTCGTCTGTGCGCTCTACATCCCAGAGGTCCAGTTCGCCAATGTGCTCACCATGGAGCCCATCATCCTGCAGTACGTCCCTCATGAGCGATACATCAAGGTACCAAACACTCACCAGAACACCTGCAGTAAAGCCGGTTAACACGCTGACGCTGCTTTCTGTTGATCCGACAACATCTGAGCACGTCTGAAGCTCGCTTTTCTGGAAAAACGTTTCAGATTGCAGATCAGAGGCGTGTAAAACATTCAGTAAACGATAAAAACCATCGATGTGTATAAAATACTTTAAATTGGAAGAAACTGCTGAACAGTGTCACCTGTGGCTCTTTGCTGAACTCAGAGGAAAGTCTCCTAAACAACCAGAAGCAACGAGCTGGACTTCAGCTCACGTTTATCATCGGTGAGTTTCATTCATCCGGCCTGTTTTCATGGCAGTCAAGTTGTATTTTTGTCGATATTTCAAGTGTTTGAAAAAAGTGGAT